CCCCTAAGTTCTTGTGCAGACACATCCACCTACTCTCTTACTTCCTTATCTTGCTGAAAAGCCCTGCAAATTTGCCCACATTTGGATGCTGAGTGCTGTATGTCATGCTGTGGTTTTCTGTAACCAAACTCCCCAAGCACACATGCCCAGACTAGCTAGAAGGATGAGAATTGTTGTGCAAAGAATTAGGTAAAGCTGTGCCAGCCTTGCTAGAGGCATAAAGGCTTTACAATTTCATCTACATCCATAGGTTTCTCTTCCAAGTTGGTTCCTACAGTCACTGACTCTACTTTCCCTAAGCCTTGCTTATTAATGAGAATTTCCAAATTTGCATTTCTTCAGCAGGCTAAGGACAGGGGACATAAGTTCTAGAGACACAAAGAGGTCATTGAATCCTGTACTGCACCCTGGTTTTGCAAGAGAACAGACAAAAGTGTCAAGAAACAAGAGGACAATATTAAAGTAGCAGAGAAATGAGAGGAAGGACAGTCTTGTCTTTCTTTCTGAGAGAACCTCCCTAAAACAAAAAAGAAAAGGCAGAAAGTCATGGTGGTGCTATTGCTATCAAGAAAGAAGCTCAGGATACGCAGAGCCCCGTGATACCCTGTGAAACAAGCTTGGATTAGACAGACTCCTCTTAAACAGTACAAACACAATTGCTACATGGATTTAAAACACTGAAAGATGAAGATGTTGTTTACTGCAAATATTTTTTTTATGTACCCTAATGCCCAAAAGTAAAATAGAGGTTGAATTTATTCTGAAACATGGTCAGGAATTTTAAAACAGGCTTTTGTATATGCAAACAACGGAAGCATGGGAAACAAGAGCTTGTGAGTTACTTAAATGTCAAGGATTACATTATACCAGGTAAAACTGAAATGTAGCACAGGGACTCAGTTTCATAAATTAAATGTCATTGCTGATGGATACAAATTATATAAGAAATATAGAAAGGAAAACCGAGGTGGCACTTTGTCAGATGCATTTATAGCTGCAGCAAAATACATTTCAGCTGCAAAGTAATTTAAAAAAACAAAACAAAATACCAAACAAAAACAAACAACAACAAAAACCAAACAAACAACTAAAGTGGAGATCTGCTGCAGCCTACTCCAGCAGCAAGAAAGTAGGAATGAATTAGTCTCTCTTAAGGTACTCAAAGCCACAAACCACTGAACTTGTGGAGAATTTAGCTGCCCCACATTTCTTTTAACAAATACCACCAAACATTGACCAAAGAAGTTCGCCAGTTACACAGAAACCTGCTCTAATCAAGACAGTACAGGTTCTTGACAAATAAATGAGAAAAATGCCCCCAACCCAGGAAATGTAGCAGAGAAATTACAAGTGACACCATGAAACAGTATTTAAATGTAACACAGTAAAGAGTTTATTTGTCTGACTTAGAAAAGGTCTCCCACATAATTAACTGGACACATGTACATTAAATATATAAATGAATACCAAAAGAAACACAGAAGGCACACATTCAGCCAAGTGGCTCTTTCTGAACCACTCACCACTGCAGGCCAGAAGGAGAGAGCCATGAGCTCCAGCTTTGTTACTTTCTGTCCAAAACCAGCACCACAGCTGTAGGCCCCATGGTGCTCCACACAGACCAGCCAAAGAGGGAGAGATCCAGAGGATAGGCATCCTCTTGGGATTGTACAGGGTGAGGATACAGGTACCAAAGAGAACTAATCTGGCTCTTTTGAGTAGCAACAGAACAATTCCCATCTTTCCCACCCTCTCAGGAGGTTGGTGACTTGATTACACAATGGGACATCTTGGGCAAGCAACAACTGACAGCTTATTGGAAGACTGCTGTACCCCTTCAACCTCTGCTGGCAGACTTCCAACACAATTCCTAAGCACTGCTGTTTGCCCCTGTGACTCCCAGCACCATCAACCACATTTTATCTGGAGAGCAAGAGAGGTTCATTTTACAGGTCACAGCCCCAGGTTTCTCATCAAGGACCACAATTAGCAAAAAATAGTCAAAATAAATGTGCTCACCTCACACAGGCTCTTTTCCGTTGCCATAGGAGCAGGTAAATAGCCCAAGTTCAGCAGATTTTATCTTCAGGGAAGAACTAGATCCACCAGAGCCTGAAACCTCCACCCTGGATAAACAAGGCTGCGTGCCTCCTCAGAGTAATGTTGAGTTTAAGGAGCAGATTTATATCATACAAAAAAGCAAGTTTCTTCTCTCAAATTAAGTAATTAAGCAGTGTGTGATAATTCTACTAGCCCCTGGAGTCAAGGCATGAGACTGACTTCCATGGAAAGAATTTGAAAACAAGTGAACATTACCTTTCAGGATCTGATGTGGCAACAAAGAAGACAAGCAGACAAGAGACTTTCTCTGGAAAGGATATCCTGTTAGTTGACAGGTTAAAGAAAAGAGCTCTGACATCCACCATAGGGAAGAGAAAGTAAAGCACACTAATGTGTAAGTGCAGAAGCAAAGGAAGAACAAGCAAAATCAGCCTCTTGGACTATTTGTGAAGTCACTTCAACCAAGATGAAGCAACAGGGAGATAAAGGACTTCCTGGAAAACTTTACCATATATATATCAACATAGTGCTAATTAGTTAATTAACCTATTGCACAATTAAAAAAATAAATATTTTAAAAGCCTGGGAGGAAAAGGAAGTACCAGATGACACTGTTCTTTACAGAACAAAAAGTGGAACAACATCAGCCTAATAAATTTATACCTGAACTTTGCTAACAAAGTGGAATAAATACAAAGAGAGAGAAAAGTCTCCCAAATGTCTGCAGAGTGGTAACCAAAGTATGGCAAAGTCAAACCACTTTTAAGAATCCTGCAAATACAGTGAGTAGCTTTAGACACATGAGCTACACACAGACAGCCAACAGGATAACTCAACTATCAAGTCACTTCTACATCCAAGTGGTGGCATCATTTCCAACACCTCCTTTTTTCCCCATTACCAGGAATAATTTTATGAAACACTGCTCATAATGTGAGCTGACAAACCCAGCTGTAAAACTACAGCTCATTCCCAGAAGGCTATATAGAGTAGCCAGCATTTAACCCATGGAATGAGGATGAGTATGTTTAACAGAGGGCACAATACCTTTGCTATTATAGCATCTCAAGACATTCTGCAGGGTAAATAGAGTAAAATGGACCTGCTTGTCATTCAGATGAAATACACTTCAAGGAAAGACAATTAATCAATCAGTGAATCAATCAATTGTATTTTATCATCAATTACAGACAGCTGTTTGAGTGTAACAACCTCTACTGCAACCCAGCAGCTGAAAGACTCTTTCAATCAGCTGCTTCTGTGCTGGGAGTGCATCAATTGCCTTTGCTGTGAATTTGTTGTGTAGCTAAAAACTGAGATGGTTTCGCTAAACAAAAAGCCTACACCTGTTGTCTTCTGATGCTTAAATATTTTTTTTTTGGCAAGTAGGCATGTTAGTTTTCAGGTCTCTTCTAATAACTAGGATCTAATTTTTTTAGGTATCACAACAGGATTTACTTATGACAGCAGGATATGTAATTTAAATGGCAAGAAAGCAAAGTGAAATGTCAATCTGCCCACTGTAGAGACAAAAACAATCTGTTTATCTACTCTGTTAGTGAGCAGAACTGGAAAAGGGATAGTGAACAAGAGGACAGAAATGCCAGTCAGATCCCACAGTAGCTATGAGGAAATCATCAAGGAAACCATTAAAACAGCCTGACAACGGGTTTGTTTTTTTGTACCATGCATTGAATTTAGGGTTTGTTACCACTGAACACTTTGGAGGCCAAAGATGAAAAAGGATTTTTAGAAAGGGACTAAGTGAATTCCTTAAGGCCAGGTCCAGAAGGAACTGCCAGAAAGCTGAGAAAATCCATAGACTGCTGGAATGGTGTCAGAGAAAGACCTTTGTATATACAAGCCTTATATTTTATGCTTCTGTGATCACCTGTTACAAGCTATTCTCAGAAGCAGAACAGCAGATCAGATGGCCTTTGGTCTTATTGCACACAATGCTTCTTATGGATCAAAGCTCTCAATTTTAGCATGATTTAGATTCTGGAAAGGTTAACTTTAAAAAAAAAAAAAAAAAGGACATTTGAAAAGTTTGCATGCCTCCTCTGCTTCTTCTTTCAACCCTCAAAGATGTACTCCTTAATCATTCTGTTTCCATGAATGGTAAAAGTATTGCTGAATTAGGAACAGTGAGGATTTCATCACAGCCACTGAAGCCTCTGTTATTGCTCCCAGATCCTGCCCAGGCCCCTTATCAGGCATTTCTCCTGACCCAGTCTGAAGTGTATGTTAAATATTGCTCTATATTCCATTTTTCCTCTTTGCCACGTTCTTGCTAAATCACTTTGTTCGACTGCTACATTGTGACCTGAAACAGTTCTGATACTGCTTTGTGGGCTACTGTTAGCTAAACCCTTCTTCCAGTCCACTCATTTCTGCATGGGCAAGTGACAACAGGAATCTACAGGAAGACCCCTTATGGACAAAGGATTGCTCCAGTGTCTGTAAACATCCTTATTTCACCCAGAATTTGCCACTTTAATTGGATTCAGCCTTACAGCCAGTCAGATCAATACATTTTTGCAGTGCAGTAGAGTAAACAATGCAACTCAGTTATTCCAAGTCTGCAGCTAGACAGACCAAAGTAGCAGCACAAAAAAGTCAGAAAATCTCCTGCATTTCTCTGGGCACAGAGTGAGCTCTGAGACCAGTCATCACAGTTGTTTTTATATACAAAATATGTGTACACATAGACATATGGACTAATACATTCATCACTAACCCTCATTTAAGGGACCGACTATCCAAAGTCTGCTCATCACCAGTAAATGTGCTTTAGCCGGGGGTGCCAGATGCATCCAGGACCCGCAGTGGCTTTACAGATCACTGCATGAGGATATGGCTGTAGGTTCAAAATCAATCAAGAAGTTACTGTTCCAGCTTGAGATTCAGTCTTTAGTTCTCCAGACAATCCTTCCCAATCAAGATAACACACAGGTAGATTGTTTGTTTTTATCGCTCATAGTAGAGTTTGGATTCAGGTTACCTGGAAGGAAAAGAAGTTAAAGTAGTATTAATGTTAAGTAAATAAGCCCTGGATAAAATTTGGACTCATGCTTCACTCATTTTTTACTATACACCTTGTGTTAGACCTACATTATTCTGCACTCTCTCATGGCTTTTTTTCTGCTGCAGTGAAATGAAGAAATATTAAAATAAGAGCAAATATATTATATTGTAGAGCAAACCACTGGAGAAGTATTTCTAGGCTTTGGCTTGTACTCAGTCGAGCTTCATTAGGTCCCAGCTGGCACACTGATAAATAGTCTGGTCATGTCTTGGGTGGGAAGTCTTCCAAAGACTGAGGTATGGAAAAAAACCCTGAAAACCCAAGGACATCTCATCCATTTGATACCCACACACATTCTTAGTAGAGGTTTCTTTTTCCATGTCTTGTTTCAAACATCTCTAGTGCTAATGTTTCCACCACTGCCTTTGCAAGACAAATCCAAAGGTCTCTCACTAAAGTGACACAGTATGCTGCCTCCATTTTCTACAATCCTGTTTTTTTTCACTGCTTACTCTATGAATTTCTTCTGCTCCCAGTACCTGTACCTTTCAATGCTTCCACTTCTGTCTGGCGTCCATCATTACAGCCAGATGTTGATATGATTACCCCAGCATATCTGTTTCAAGCACTGTACAAAACTGTATTCAGAGGCTTTTGCAAGTAAGGGAGCTTATCTGTGCTCTAAAGTCATCAAAGCTTGCATGACTCTGGCCCAGGGCAGCAGGGACTGAGAGGGGTTGCCATGTGGCTTGAATCACTCTGATCAGAGGCAGGCCCTGCTCATGTACTCGTACAGAAGGAAGGCACATGTGCCTCTCCCAAGCACTTGGAGCCAGATGCCAGAAAACTGCCACAGCTCATGGTGACATGCTACTGAGAAGTCTCAGCCTTACTAAGTTTAGGGAGCATTCAACCCAAGCACTGCCTCTGAATTGGGCTTGAAGTAAATAATTTTTAATGTCACTCTTTTGCTTGTGGGTATTTGGTCAATGCTGCCCTTACCTGTAGATGATGGGGGAGAGAAGAGCTCTCTTTTCTCCCCCTCATTCTCTCCACTTTCTTTCACACTGCATCTTCTTGATGTTCACCTGGGAGGTTGCACTGCACCCTGCCCTAACTTCTGTGGCTTCTCTGTGTGCTACTGCCTCCTCCCCACATCTCCCTGTGGCATTTCATTCTACCTGTCCCTCTCTGACACATCCTGCATGTTAGTATTATCATTACTCATATCTCCTCCCCACCCCTCTTTCCTTCCCAGTCTGTATCACATTCAAGACCTTCATGCTTTTTTTGAAAGATGCTTGTGCTTCTCTGCTTAATTTCATCTCCCAGCCCTTTTATTCTTACCACTTTCTACTCTTGTCTTCTGACCTTTTTCTACATATCCCACTACAGTTAGAGCAAACACCCTCCTTGTATGTACCTGTGGCTGCTGCTCTCTCCACAGAGAGCAATAGGCACAACTTTCCCAGGCATTGTCCTGGGGAAGGCTGTGAGAAGACCAGAGAAAGAATGATAAACAAATCTTATCTTCACTTGCTGCACCTGTTGTTGTGAACATGTGGAATATGTTATGGAGATTTGTTTACCAAAGGGTGATTTCTTAATTGGCCAATGGTGATGGTGTTTTGGATTCAAAGGACCAATTAGGTCAAACTGTATCGGACTGTCTGTAAGGGTGATGAGTTTCTTAACAAGTATAGTATAATAAAGTGATTGATCAGCCTTTGCAATCATAGAGTTAATGCTAATTATTACCTGGCTGGGGATATGGTGTTATGACAAGTACCCAACAACATTTCCCTCTTTCTCTTTAGAAAAGGGGCTGAAAATTCCAGTTACCACTCTTCCACTCTTCTCACTTTGGCTGAAAAATGCTGGTGATAACTAAGCAGCTATTTCAATGCCATCGCAGTACTCAGTGTAAATCCCATTTCTTGTTGCAAGAAGCACACAAAACTGAAACGCAAAATCCTTCTACTAAGTATATGTATTTATGTATTTTGCAACATGAGGAATAAAGTCGATGCATGGAGCACCTCAGGACAGCAGACCCTTCTGAACAAGCCCACTTTGCTTCCTCCAAAGGAGAACAGCAACCAAAAAGTCTGTACCTTCTGAAGGTACATGGCTTTCAGACTTTTGCAATGTTTCCCAGTAACTGCACACAGAAGTCACTGTCTTTGCTGACCACAGTCTGCCCAGAATCAACTTAAAATTAACAAGATTCTGGTCAGGTTCAGAGCTGCTCTTCTGTCCCTCAGCGGGCAATAGTGAAATCCAAGGGTTCTGTTAATTTCATTATGTGGTTTGAGAAAACCTTTTAAGACAATGTACAACTTGCCATGGGCTAGGACAACACATCAGGGTGTTAATTCAGACACTTAGTTTGGGACATTACTTTCTATCTGGAGTCCTTGTATTTTCCAGACTCCTAATTCTGACTCATAGGAATCCTTTTCTAGCCTGTAAAAACTGCATCAGAGTTTCAGACTCCATCACAGCACACACTTCCATCATTTTTCTTCCCAGTTCAGATTCTCTTCATCACCATTTGCTCCTACAAGACTGAATCTGACTTTCAGCCTGCTTGAATAATGTCTTTCAACTACTCTATGAGCTACTCGGGTGTGGATCTGGTCTCTTCATGCATTTGCAAGATGGAATGTGTCTCCGTGGTGCTAGAGAATTAATAGTGACTTTGGAGGATGTGTGCACAGGCAGGCCCATGGGGCTTAAGTGTGCTGTTTAATCTTTACAAAAGCTAAGGGCAGCTATTTCAAACCGTGAAGCTCTGAATAATTGCATCCTAACCTGCCTGCATATGAAGTACCTTCTCCCTCATTTCCACTTCTTACCTCCCTTCTGTCATCCAGAATATCACAGCACCAGTTTTCACTAGCTTTGCTGAAAGACATCTTAAACTTGTAAAACTAAGTCAGCCATAAAGTTACCCAGGAACAAAGTGCCTCCTATCTTTATACTGAGGCTGGAACTCTATTCCATGGGTGTCTTTAAGAATTTTTTATTAAATCCTTTTCTGTTCCTCATGAGTATCCATCTATTTAATATGTCCTCTACCATCTCTGTTCACATGCCACTTTGGGACTATTAGACCAGAGGAGTTTTCTCTCACAAAAAAGTGATTTAATTCAAAAGCAACACACAATCCATGATCTTCCTTCAGCCTTTGATGACACCAGATGGACAAAGTCTACTTATACCATACTTCAAAAGCTATGTAGTCTCCTACTGTCACCATGAACAGGCATTCTCAATTTGCCAATAAGCCAAAAATACTAGCAAGGACTCACTGGAAAGATTTATCAGATCAGAAAAATGACAGGGGAAGACTGGTTTGCTGGACCTCAGCACCTTCCCTGGACCTGTTCTCAGTTCTTCCTTCCCCCTTATTGAAAGAGTCTGCAGGAAGTAACAGTGGCAATAAATAAAACCTGAACATAATAGCATGGTAATGTATTTGTGGAAATGGTCTAGACCAAGCATCAGACTGTCTCGCACAGATCCACTGTGTTAGGAGGAACAGGGACATCCCTGCTGCCCGGATGGTGCAATGCCCCAGCAGGGTGCAGCACCCCACTGTTCAGCCAAAGACATCAACCTCTCGTGCCTTAATCTGGGCCTGATTTCATCAGGACATTGTGGGAATACCAGGCTGGCTGCTTTGAAACAGGTGACAGTGAGAATCTCTGATACTGCAAAGTGCTGATGAATCAGAGATGACACAATTCTCTCCTTCTGTCACTAGAGGGTAGTGCGAGCACTCAGGTCCATTCCCATAAGTGGAAATGCCCATACATCTCCCCACAGGTCCTCACTGATTTTGCTTTTCCAGGCTTTGAGGAAGGGGCCCACCAGCACATAATGTCTGTGCTCAAGACCTACTTGGAGAGAGGACCTCTTTAGATCCAGGTTTACTTCTGCCTCCTCAAATGCCAAATGCAGACTCTAAAATGGATCTACTACAGTCTTAATTAAATTAGCCATTCCCTCTTACAGCTCCTATTTCTTGTGTTCATTTGGCATTTTGAGCCTGTCCTTCATTTAGGCACAAATATTTCCAAGAACCTAATTAATTGTTGTTGACTGTCCCAATACTCTGCTTTTCTTCTTGGTCCCAGGAGAACATCTTTCTGTTTCACATCATGGTAACTGCAAAGGAATTCAGTCTCTCTACATCTGCATTTTGCATTCATCAGAGCACAGAATGGTCTCTGGCCAGACAAGAGGAGGAGGAATTTTCTCCTTGCAGTTAGTTTATTTTCCCGATGGTGCAGGATGTATTGACACCCAACACAGCTCACTGAGAGGAAGACAACCAGGCTGAATAGTCCAAAGATTTACTTCAATCTCACAAAACATGTAAAATGTTGGGAAGTTAGCTATGAACCCATAACCTGTTAGAACTCTTTATCATTTGTGTCTTCAACTGACTGAAGCCTTAGAAAGATTTAGTGAGAATATTAATCATGCATTAGCAAAGAAAGAAAAGTTGAGATCTAGTGATCTACTTCTTTGTAGCTTCTATTTTCATGACCTTCTCCCCCATTTCAAAAGCTGTTAAAGGAGCAAATTAAAAAGACTTGTACCCTTTCCTCCACTCCTTGTCCCCTCACCTCAACATAAACATGTTTTCCTCTCTTCTCCACCAGGAATTTGCCACAGGAAATACACCTGCCTAAACTCTAATGAGGAAAGGAGGGATTACACTGAAAATCTCTCTGTGGCCTCCTAGCCACTACAACAGAGTACATAGTGCTGCTGTTTATTAGGCAAATGCACTTTATGAACTGAGCACTGTTCTACACAAGGCAATGTTTACCTTTCTCTCCCTTTGCTGCTCAAAAGTACAAGAAGCACCACATGAGAAGTACCAACCTTACAGTAAGACTGCCATTAAATTGCTTTCAACTTATATTGCCTATATCTTTTAATACAGCTTCTACCCTTTGTTCTCACTCATTTTGGTTCAGAGGAAATCAGAAGATCTACTCACAAGTGCCTGTAGTGAGTATGGTTGCATCAATCAGCCAAGCTCAGAACAAGGAACACAGAAAGCAGAGTATGCTGGTAAAAGATTTTACCTGAGTTGCCTCCAGTGCTCCGAACACTAGCATGGCCAATGCTGAGCCTCTCATATTCCAGTTTCATGTTCCCAAGGTCTTCTCCTGAATGTCCTTCACTTGCAAAAGAATTGGCCTCAATGCTTGAGCCTGGAGACCGCTTGGCCTTGCGACTGAAAAGCCCACTGGCAAACCGTTTTCCTTGCTTTGCATTGCTCTGTGCATCTTCTTTCTTTATGTCACGAATAGACTCTCTGGATTTGGATTTATTTTTCAGGTCCATGTGGAGCCGGGACAACAGTTTCTGGGGGCTCCGATTCAGCTTGTTCAAGTTCTCCAGAGGTGGATCTATTTCTGGGAACACTTGCTCCAATGTGACTAAGTCATTGAGGAACTGATTTAACCGTTTCTTTGACTCACTTGTTTCCTCCTTTTCCATATTTCCCTGATTGTCTTGCCTGTGCCGTGAAGCCCAGAGCATCATATCACCACGGGTTGCCCCTGCTACTAAACCATACTTTGGGTTAATGAACTTCCTAGCCACAGTGGAGGAATGAAAACCTGGCTTCCCAACTCCAAGGAGGAATGGGTTAGCAATACCCAGTTCCTTGTATAAATTAACTTCCTCTGAGATGGCGTAGAGCTCACGAAATTCAATGTCAAACATCTCCACATGCTGTCCTGTCAAGACTAGCAGGATGTTTCTGTCAATGTGGGATGAAGTCCACGTGAAGCTAAGAGGAGGAAACAGAACCAGCATTAGATTTTGGGGTGTACTTGACCCAGCCAACCTAACAAAACCTAAGTCAATACAGCGGAATATGTAGCATTATGCCATTTGCCCCCATGTCCTTGGCCAGATGGGCCCCATAGATACATGACACAACATTATTTTTTTTCCTTAAACATGTAGACTAGTAGACTTTGGGAGAAAAGGCCCCGAAACTCTGAAGGACCCTTTAAAAAAAGCAGCACTGAATCAGAAAGGAAGAGTCTCTGGACTGAAAACCTCACTGAAGAGAACTGAATACAGGGACTGGTGGGGAGTTCTTGCAGACCCCTTCCTGATGCAGTGTAGAACTGTCTCTAGCCCTCTGAAAAGGTCTGCCAGCATGGGTATGTTCCATTCTCTGAAGAAGGGCTTTATACCACTTTCTCTGTTGTCCCACTCCAGTTTCTACAGATGCCACATAGATTACAGAAGGTGGATAGAAGAGGGGGTGACATGTGAAGAAGACTCTCAAGCAAAGCCATGACCATTCTTTAAATAAATGCCTTAATGTGTCTTAAACAAGAGTAACCTACCTGTATGATCCAGTGGCCACCTTTTCACCATCCACCATCAGGAAACGGGATGCCAGTGTGCCTCTGATCTTCCCTGATGGCATGTAGAACCCAACTCCTGTCACAGAGCGTATGCGGATATTCTAACAGGGAGGTGAAAAGACAAAATGTAACAATAAATAGGACAGAAAGTTAGGTAATTGCCAGTTCCAAGTCTTAAGATTTCACTCACATTGTCTCACTAGTTCTGGGACTACACCTCATTTTGTATCAGCCACCAGAAGGGCTGCAAAAGGAAAGCATAGTGCTGTAAGTCCTGTTGTCATCCCCTGTCTACACAGGTCACTCCTCTCAATGAGTTTATAGCTGTCCAAGGGGTCAGCATCATCAAAACCCTGCCTGCTGTCTTCAGCTATTCACTTTAACCACTGGCAAGACAATGCTTTCAGGTAAGTGTCTCTACTAATTTCCTGAATACATCAGTGAAGAAGAATTTCTGAGGATGAGGAAGGAGAATCTGTGGGTCTCAGATTCAGTCAAAGAAAGAAACGGAGAGTTTCTAGCCAGGCAAAAAGCCTGGAAAAGTGCTGGGAAAGAATGTAAATAATTCTTTATCTCTCTTGTTTTTCACATTGTTTATAGTTAAGTTCTATCACTGTGCGTCAAGCACTCTGCACCAATGCTGTGGGTTGTTTTCACTTCAGAACCAATGCATTTGGTCCTTGCAGAGCACTGTATAAAAGAGCAGTGTATTTTGAATAAAGGGGAGTTTTACTGTTACAGCCTTCTGAATCATAGTCTCTTCATTCCCGTCCTGCCGCGACAGCGACAAGAATCTTTTCATAAAATGAATGGAAGTAGCTAGAAAAAGAATACTTCTCCCCAAACCTCACATCTCACACCCTTTGATCAGCAAACCTACAAATAATGAAACAAAGTACTACCAGATACAGAAAAAACACAAAGTTAAGGTTACGTGATTTTCAACAATAGATGTGTGCCTGTGCATACTATAAGGATATATTTGCACATTGGACTGAGTGTTACTCTGCTCATGGGTCCTGGTTGCACAAAGCTGAACTGCCAAAGTGTCTAACATGAAACATTCCCCCTCCCCTCCCCTCAAACCCGAAAATATTGAATGTCAGTATAAGTTTGGAGAAAACTATCTTGTCACTCTGACACACAAATCTAGAAAATTTTCTTCATTCCACCATATTTTTATGTAAGGATTCCTTAAGAATGAAAAGCTAAAAGGTACTGTGAACTGGAGTCATAAATTCAGGGCTGGGAGTCAGATAGTTGCAGGCATAACTGCAGCTCTGATACTGTTCCTTGTGATGTTCTGGGAAAGTCGATTCACCTTTGTTTCATTCTTCCCCATCTGCAGAGCAGAAGAATCAAGAGGATTTGGCTAATGCTAGCATAGCCTCAGATCCCACAAAGAGCTAAGTCCTACTACTATAAACCTCACTGACAGTTTAAATATTGATAGACTACAGAAATCAGCATGCAGGAATGAGTGATTATAAGAATGCAGATTTCTTTCAAAAGCTGTTTTTTTCTGACTATAACTCCTGCCTTTTGAATCCGCTGCTATCTCCCCACTAGAACACAGCAGTGGAAATACAAATTCTGACTAACAGTAACTGATGACAGTAGTGTTTTGCATTCAGCTGTTGCTTGATCTGTCTGGAGTCCTGTGTGGGCATTAGCTAATTAATGCTCCCTACATTGCTGAAAGTATTATTACCCCATTTTAAAGATGAGGAGTCTAAGACAGAAAAAGATGAAGTGGCTTGCCCAAGGCCTAGCAGTGAGTCATACATATGGGATGCTGAAGACAGGTTGGGTAGAGCACAGGAGAAATGGTGCCCTTTCCAGTAATTAAAATAACATTTGAATTTGACTGGCTGATCACCTGAAATGGTTTTTTTTTCCTTGCTGATTAATGTTGGATGTGGGATTTGCCAAATCATGCTATGCTGACTGCACAGGGCAAGAAGTCAGTCAACAGCTCTGACGTGATACATACTCCTGTGAATCAAGAAGTATCAGCCTGTGAGAGCAGAAAGCTTCCCAGCATATAACAAGTTTGGATCTTATTGTGTTTCTATGTTCTATCACCTTCTTTTGGTGGAAAGAAAGCACACTTGAATTTCTGCAGTAACTGAGCTGTACGTAACACTTAGAAAGGCGCAGAGGGGTTAGAATTGAACAGCTGAGCACATAAACCTCTTTGAATAAAATAGGTACAAGAGTGCATGAATACATCTTGAAATGCAGAAAACAAGCACAAAGTCATATAAACATAAAGTCACTTAACAGGTTATTTGTATACAATTTTCTGCCTTGAAGGATCGTGGAACATTTGTGGACTGCTAAGTCAAGCTACAGAGGAAGAATGAGCCTGGTCATGTACCAAAGACTACATGATAACAAAAGAGGAGAGACAAATATAAATGAGGTAGGATTGCAGGTGTTTTCAGAGGGTATTAGAGTTACAGTAGTAACAAATATTTTGAGTAGAGGACCAGTTAGCTCCAGATAGAAGGACCAGATAAAAGTGACACCTCCAGATCTATATAGTTGCAAAAGCCTGCTTAAGGTTTGTTCTTTAATATCCTGGCTCATGGGAGATGCAGTCTGCATTAAATTTCCATATTTCCTTTCCACAGACTTGCACCACTCCTCATCACAAGCAGTGACTAACATATTCCTGGCTACAACTCCGTATGACTGGTAACAGTCAAGCCTGACAGAGCATCCTAATACAAATAGTAAGGAATTGGTCTTCCTTGCTTTATTGTGGCACTTTTAAACCTCAGTCTGAATCTACAGAAAGCTAAGTCACACCTAATTTATCTAGTCAGTAATGCTGTGACTGACTTGACAGACCTAGGCCATAGTGCTTACAAACTGGGGCTGAGTAGGGGTAATACACAAGACAGACTCTAAATGGAGGTGTTGTAACTGCTTCCATCAGAGAATCCTATGTGTACCTTCCCTCTTAGAACTGGAAAATCCTCTGTTTGCCCTGGACAGTTTGGAGCCTTGCAAGCTCCCATTCTCAGAAGGTCACAAGTCTAGAAGAATTCTGTAGCAGACCATTAAAAAACCAACAGCACTACTTCACATCACATTCTGCTCCTCCCTCATCTCAGGTAGGACTCAATGACAAAAACCATAAAATACTGAAATGAAATTCCAAAAGTTTCTTAGGCAGAAGCTTTTTAGATTTTCTGAAGTGAAAGGAGAAAGTTCTTACATGTTAAGCAAATGAATGTAAAACTTAATGTGAAGGTGAACTTCCTGCAGATAAATTATTCCCTGAGCTTGCTTTGAACTCTAGGAGAATTCTCTCAGTCTTTGGGCAGGAGTGTCTGTTATTGTGGTCAGGGTTAACAGAAACATGAGAACAAAAAACTTATCTAAAAACTGGTGAGAACATTCACCCTCAGGTCCTGAAAAAAGAGGAATTTCTGAGGGGCTATGAATTTAGTGTCTATGAAAACTCTGATTCACCGTGATCTCTGTAGAGCACTCGTGTCAAACAGAAGTCTGACAAACCATGTCCTGTAGGCTCAGAAAGCCATATGACTCACACACACAAGACATGCTCCTATGAACAACCCATGAACATTCTGATGATAGAATTTAAATACATTTCTGATGAGCTCTGGCCTTCAGACAAAAATTGAGGTTTTCTCATCTCATGCATTGAGTTGGTTAAGAACTCTTACTCTTTGCAGGGTGAGGTACTGTCTTCCTATAGCAGTTTCCCTCCCATGAGATTGTCAGCAGATCATGATACCTTGCCATCTCTACAAAAATAATACAATTTTGTGAAAATGTTCATCACTGTACATAGAAAAAGGGCAAAACCCAGTGTTAACACTTAATCTCCCCATATTAGGACTGTTGAAGGATTCATTGGATGAACATTTGCATTGGATGAACACGGCAACAGGACCAAAAGGGCAGAAAATACAGAACAAAGTAAGTATCTGGTGGTGACAAGACAGAATAAACATTGTGACCGTGTGGTTCACGGCAGTGCATCATCTCTCTCCCCCTGGGATCAGAACTTGTCTCTAAACCTTAGAGTTGTATCTCATGTGGCTGCAACTTCCTGAGGGGAAAAAAAAACCATCCTCTGTACCTCACACAAGCATTCCAAAGGGAAGATGGGCAGAAGGGCAGGAAAGAAGACTATGCAATTCCTTTGCTGGCAAACTATGTCTGCTGAAAACTGTGAAAAAAATCTTCTAGAATAAAGCAAAACGGTAATTCAAAAAGGAGATAGTATTTTCCCTGTTGCTAAAAATCTGTAGAAGAAACTCAGACATCAAAGCAGATGTCAGGAGAAAAATGGTTGATAAGAAATGGGTGAATGATGGTTTACTCAGCAATTTCAGTATCTTTTATGATCAAACAACGTGGGACAAAGTGATTCTGCCTGAACAAGACCAGAAGCCCAGCTTGCTTTCTTGCTTTAAATCTGGATCTTCAACCCTTGGCACAAGAGGAAGGGCTGGGGGGAGTTCTCAGGGGGAAACCTTAACCTTTCTGGAGCTTCCTTGGGTATCCAAGGCCTGTTGCCAGGGAAATCCCGACATGATGGTTTCTGCTACACTGACCCAAGCAGCAGCATAGGCACATTCAAAGCAGCTTTGGGTGAGATACTAAGAGAACATCTTCCTTGAGAGGCAAATTACTTGTTTCCCCATTCCATGAAGAATCGCCCTGGTCATTCCGTAGAACCATATACAGGTATTAACTGCATTGACCTTAGCAAGACTAACAAAAACCTAAGCCATACTGGAAAAAAAAAGATAACAAACTTCAGGGGAATTTAACTTCCAGTATGAGATACCTGGGAAAAGAGGAGGAAAATTTGAAGCACAAAAATCTGCAGGCTGAAGCTTTGCAGAATAGTGAACAGCTGGGTCAAAAGATGTTAAAAATTTCTTCTCAGTGGACTTCCTTCAAGTCAGCTTGTACTATTTTTAGCTGAAGATGTCTAAAGGAAAACACAGCATGGGCTGCCATGAAAGAATGGAATCACAGAAGGGACACAAATGTTTTCTCCTTCTTTTGATTGCATCAGTTCAAACTGCATCTCTTTAGAGAGAGCCATACAACTAGACTGCTGCAGGACCTAGGCATTGCTGTAGAACATCACTGGGATCACTGGTTTAGGAGTGTCAAGACTGTGTAGAAGGATAAGAGGATGAGCAGAAGGGGACTGCTTTAGAGACAGAGAAAACAGACTGAAAGGAACTTGCCTCTCTCAACACAACTCATTCTAAAATACCAGGACATCTTTTCATTCACTCTGTCCAGAAGTTAAAATATTGTAGTACTGAAGACATCATTGCTGTACACAACGACACAGTAAGAAAAGTACTGGGAAACCAGTACCAGAGCAGATGGAACTGCTGCTGTGATTTCAAAGTTATGTACCAAAGAGACACAAACCTAGGATACACAATACCACTGGCACTTGAAACATGTCTGTTATAATGAGGTCTGTGTCTTGCTTTCAAAGACACCAGAAGGAAGGAAATTCCACCACTGTTTTGGAGAAAAATGATAAAAGTTCTCAGCTGGATGTCTTTTTTGATGAAACTCAGAACAGAGTGGTAGAGAATTCTTCAGATACATGCAGGTAATTTTCATCCAGATTTAAGATGGTTCTCCTAAAATGATTAATATGAGACTATAATCTTCAGAGCTTTTTGAGTTTTGGTTGTGTTTTGGGGTTTTTTAACCATTAATTGAGTGTTTAAGGAAAATCCACCCCTGCTCCAGGCAAAAAGCACTTTTTTGCACTGCCACTGCACAGAACAATTGGATCACAAAGAGAGGTGAGTCTGGTATCCCATAGGTTGCTTCAACTTAGCAACTTTTTTCAGGATTTAGAACAAATCTGTAGTAGCAGCCATGACTAAAAAGATGGGGCGGAGGGGTGGGGAAAGGAAGGAATACAATACTAACAAGAAACACACAAATGATTTCAGTCTGTATGCAATGGAGTGAGATCCCTCTGAGGCTGCTTCTGCCAACCAAGCTAGACTGACTACTCTGATGTGCTGCATGCACTGTATGAAGGCACACTCTGGTATGGGACTGGGCAGCAGCTGTGGCACTCAATCCCTTACATCTTCCTTTAAGTCCTCCTAAAGGAGGACTACAAGCTCATTCACTCTCAGATGACCACTGCTGGGCAGGAAAGTCTTGATTTCACAGAGTATTCGTGTCCTGTAAGAGGGATCCATGAAGACAACTCAAAGAGCTGCTTGGGACTGTAGTTTGAATCCTTACATAGAAGAGCTATAGGAATTTTCTCTGCTAATTTTCTCCCCAGACAGGAATTTTTAGGTCACAAGAGCCAGGGAACTACACAGATCCCTGTCTTGTGTGAAAAACAAAAAAATACAAATCTTTCCTTTTTCTTTCCTTCTGTATTATCAAGCCATGCTGCTATCCCTCTGTGCTCCATCACTTTAAGTGGTGAATGACTTGTAGGCAGGAAGAGATGAGTTTGCTGATCCAAGCAAGTTCCAAGATTCACTACAACTGCGAAAGGCCAATGACCTGCAGGAGATAATGGTTTAGTACTGAATACCTTACCCTGATCTGCAAGTCATTGAGGTCAAGGCATCTGCACATTTCCAGGAAGAGCTTCACACCCTCCTCATCTAGGATGATATAGACCGGGATCCAGCGCTTATATGCTGCATCAACAATATCACGGAAGATGTCCCGGTCCGTAAATACATCCATGACCACTGCAATAATCTGGAAACAAGAAAATGGTAGACAGACAACTGAATAAATATTAGGAACTGAAAGGAAGGCCCTTCCCACTGGTGCAAAATAAAGAAGAGCACTGACACCAGATAATGGAGGAGAACTTTTGTCTCCATAGGGAGACAAAAGTACAGGGATGCACATGCCCAAGCACTAGCAATAATTGTAATTTTCTGGGTTAGCTGCTGTACTTTGGAAGGAACTTAGTAAATGTCTATGGGAGTTCTCCTTCCACATGAAAATTACTTATTTTAGGAGCCTGAGGAATGCCAAAGCCAAATACCTAGTTTTTCCTCTGTACTAAGAAACTGCCATTGTCTCTGTAAGGACTCACTTAAATTAAGAACACTGAAAATAGATTGAAAAAAAAGACTGAAAACAAAACTTTAACACTTAACCTCAAAGTATCTAATGGAAGAATGAATGTGCAGAGCAATCAGGGCCTTCATCCTCAGCCATGATGCACAGTGTAGAAAACAAGAATTCTACTTTCCTTTTTTTTCCCCCCAAATCCCTGTGAAAAGTCTGCTCTCAGGGCTTGCTTCCCAAGGAATGATTTATTGAGCTCAAACATAAATACTTTATGTTTCTCAGAAAGGGTCTGGAGTGTATTCAAGATTTGGAGGCAAAATAATCATTCCCTCTCTTTGCATGTATTGTTTTTCTGGTGTAAAACGAATCCTTCTTTCCAGGCATAGATTTTACATTAAAACAAAAGGTTTCACTGAAGTGAGAGACAAGCCTGAACATTTATAGGATGAGTAACAACAAAACCAAGAAGGTTATAGGTAACTTTAATGCTGATCTTACAGAAAGGGAGAGAAAGACAAAACATCTATCATTTACACCATTAGAAACACCAATTATTTTTTCTGCCTGAGTTATTCTTCCCAACATTTTAAAGGTTATCAATGGAGGAAACTACTATTTTTCTAGTCCCTCTGCATAACATCAGTGTGCCAGGTCAGAGCTGTCATGCTGACAGTATGCTGGGAATAGAGTTGTCTAAATTTTAATTTCCTGGGTGCTGGGGATCACAGCAATAAGCCCATCTGGGCTGGGGATGACATATACAGGTGTGAATAGAGCTAAATAGTGAATCACACTGTAGGACTTTCTTCACTTGATGCTTGGAAAAGGTGCAGCTCTCTTGCAGGAGCCCCCTAAGAAAGGGGGAATAATTCTCCCCCTTGTTCAAGGGTCTCTTTCCTGTGAAAAATGCCCTTGTACAAATAGCTTTTGGGAAAGTGATGCCACAGTAAACATCCTCCACTGCATCTGCTGAAGCTCTGCTTAGTCCCTGATTGTACGGCCAACAACAACCAACACATCTGCTCTGTCAGGCTCCTTCTGTCAACAGTGCTTACACCAGCTTCCCTTTGTTAGAGAAAGAAAAGAGCTGACATTTTATTTATGCTCATCATTAACACATAAGTTCCTGATAGAGGTGAATTATGCTGCAGCTATATCATACTAAATCCCACAGTAACTTCTACTAGGCAGAATGTAACAGGAATGTTACCAGAATCTGTAAAAATTAAAATACAGTGAACCTGTGCCACCTTGTTTCTGAACAACTCCACATACAGGCAAATCATAGTTAAAGGCATGAACGGTTCATGTATTAACTCAGGCCTGTTATGCTCTCTCTCCCCTCACACACAGACGTATGGATATGCTATTTAGGAGAAAGGATGCCAAATAATATTCATTTGAAGTAAGAACATTCACATAGAGAATGGATAGCAGAAGCAGAACTTCTTTTGTCTCCATCCCCACCATTTGCAATGAGTGTAAGGACTGAAGAAGTTATACCCCCTCCTGGACAAACCATTAATTTTCACTACTGGCTTTGCAATGTGAAGGGATTGCTCCCTCCAGGCTGTGGGGCCTTGTGTCAGTTCAGGCTTCTTTCCAAGACTGAGGACCATTGACAACAGCAGTCAAAACTCCCCATGGGCAACGCCTGTTGTGTTTGCCATCTCAAACCCCTGTCACAGCTGGTGATCTGTCAAGATCACCTAGGAGCGTTCCCAACCAGAGCAAGTCAGAGCATGAGTGTCTACCCCTGCAAGAGATTTTCCCCATTTCTCTTCCAATCCTGTGGATAATGAACTTACCTGTAGGACCCATAGGTGTGCCTAGCTCTTCACAGGAATTTTAAGATTGGCAAGTTAATGCTTGCTAATCTCATTGCAGCTAGGTAGCTTAATTAACATATGTTTGTAAAATACTGATGATAAAACACCCACAGACATGTGCCACATATTAGCAGCATCTGTTTAGACCCCTCCTCAGAAAAAACCAAGCCAAACAATCCCCTACTCTCATTTGCTGATTAAAAAGCTGCTACCTGGAGACTTTTTTTGCCAGAGCCAGCTCAGCTGAACACAATAGGCATAGTTATCTATGAAAAGGACCATTAAACACTCAAATGGCTGTTAAACGTGAACACAGCTTCGGGCTGGGAGGGGCACAGTTTGTCCAGTCAGTGAAAAATAAAAATCTACAAAAGAATTAATTATTTCTAGGTGCCAGGCACAGCTATTAAAAGAAACAAACTTTCCCAGTTCTTGAACAGTCTATAGAAACATTTGTAGCCGCACAAAGAGGAGGTGAAGTTGCACTACATCAGAGCGTAAGGATTTTACAGCTTCTGTCTTCTAAGAGACTGATCACACCAGTCACTGAACAGAATTACAGGGTGTGCACAGTTTCCGAGAGCAAGGAGCTGAGAACATCACCCACCAGATTAATGCCTCTGGAAAGTTTTCTGTGTTTTCCGACAGATTCGGTTTGAACAAGTCTGCAAAAGTGTTGCATATAGTGTGTGTTGGCAGAGGGGAACAGGCGGAGGAGGAAATGACTGCTGAATTACAAAGCAGAAAAACCAGAAAGCTGCAAAACTAAGCGCAGGAATGAAGTTGCTTACACTGTTCCCCCCTTTACCCAAGGGGTGTGTCAGCTCTGACGGATATCTTTTCCTGGGTGGTCTTCCCCGGGAACTTCACCCACATCCGGGGTGGGTGACGAAAAACCTCGTGATTGCCCCCACCTGTTCAAAGCAAGCTCTTGTAGCATCGTGGCTGGTTTGCTTCCTTGCCAGAGGTGCCCTGTCACCACCAGCAGTCATTTCCAGGGAAAGATAAACGGGAGAACCAGCCGCATATTGTGTGCACTTGGGTCTGCTTGCAGCTCAGGCTGGACGGTGTTGAGACCACAAAAAATAAACCCAAAAAACACCATCCCAGAAACGAACACGCTGCCCTGTCTTTAACTAGGGATACCTGCACACAGCAGGTAGGGGTGGCTGTAACAGCATCACGACCTGTCTTCCTCTGAACCCGGGAATGAGGCCGGGACAGGACAACGCGAACCACGGGTTCAGAATCCCAACTGAGGGGACGTGGAGGGGGTGTGCAGAGGTTTAACCCCATCTCAGGCATCAGCTTTGGCAAAGCGTAACATGACTGGCAACGAGGCACAGGGAAAGCCCTGCCTGGTGGACGCCGACCACTGCATGGCCAGCGCGCTCCTGCTTCGGAGCGAGAGCCGCCCGGCCTCGGCGGCTCTCGCCCACCTTCCACCCCATGCCCCGAGCCAGACCCTCGGCCCGGGAGAGGGCGAGCAAGGCTGGCCCGTCTTGGGCCGGGCCGTACCTTCTGCGCCTGCTGGATCATCTCCCGCACCACCTCCTTCAGGTGCGGCGCGCTCTCCTCCTTGCGCGGGTGCGTGAAGAGGGACACCCGGCTGATGCCGCGGTAGAACGTCTTGTCGGTCCAGCCCAGGTCCAGCGGGGGCACCTCGGTGTCCGAGCACTCGGGCCAGTAGGCCAGCGAGAGGGTCTCGCCGCCGGGCCCCCGCGCCACCTTGCCGCCCTCCCGGGGGTCGTCGTAGCCCCGCCAGCCGCCCCGCAGGTCCTGCAGCTCCCGGCCCGAGAGGAAATCGCGGAGCTGCTCCTTCCTCAGCGCCTCCCGGTACGCGGCCTCGCCGCGGGTCACCAGCGCCTCCAGGGCTCGGCGCTGCTCCTCGCTGTAGTAGAAGCGGGCCTGGGCCTCTGTCACCTTCTCGTTGACGTGCAGCTCGTCCAGCAGGAGCACCTGGGACTCCGCCATGCCGCCGGCACCCCCAGCGCAGCGCCGGCCGGGAGCGAGGGCAGGAGGCTGCGGCGGGAGGGAGAGGCTGGGCCGCGGCCGCCTCACCTGCCTTGCCCGAGCCCGCCCCGACGGGTGGGGCGGCCGCTCCCCCGGGCCCCGGGGACATGGCTGTCCCCGCCGCCCGGCCCCTCGCCCGGACTCCTGGCCCTCGGGACGGGGGTGCGAGTTGCGGGGAGAGCAACTTCTGCGAAAAGGAGAACAACCCGACCTAAGAGATGTAGGATGCGATGTGAGATAAAGGGAAGAGACTGGTTATGTGGCGGCCTAAACCAGCTTCGAGGGATGTGGGATAGAAATGTTTAACTAACTTGTGAAATTGTAGCCTAAGAGTGAACTTGGTGCACTGAAATGGGAAAACTGCACCTCTGAGGGAAGACCCTCGCCCACTGAACGCATAAATTTGGAATACCCTGTGCCTTTAAACTGAGGTGGGGAAGGAAAAGGCAGTAGTAGCTGAGCCAGATAGTGACGTAGATTCATTATGCAAATGTTGCCTGAATAGGATTGTATAAATATGCTTGCATATGTACATTGTGTATGTATGTATAAATACGCTTCCTAGCTTTGTGGATTTACCACTTCTCACCCATGTCTGCGCAAACATGAAATAAAATCGAGTGTCTCAACACTGCGTATGGATCAGCTTCCTCACTGGGTGAAAGAATCCATATTTGGGACAATACCCTGGCGTGGCTGGCACCAGTGTCCTGACTGCAGTCCTTAGAGGAGAGCCAGGCCTGGGCCCCAGATGTATTTTGAGGTGCAAATGCAAAAGTCTATTTAAGACTTTTCGCCCCCCTCTTTCACACTTGACAGCCGCCTGACAGATGCTCATGAGGAAGAGGGGGGCACAACTGGGGCCAGGGAGGTGGGCAGTGCACCATGGTGGCCACAGGCAGTGGCCTGTTGGCTGCAGAGAGCTAGTAGCTGTCTCTCTCTGAATCCTCTGGCACCTCAGCAGCTCCAGAAAAGCAGGTGCTGTGGGGTACCCAGCTTACAGAGGGGAAGATGACAGAGCCATGTGCCAAAGGCTGCCTAACAGGCTGGTGTCAGAGCTGGGAGTAAAACAGTGCTGCTTCCAGTCTCTGGCTGGGAGCATGAATAAATAGCCACACGCATCCCACCGGAGACTGGGGGCTGTAATGTTAAATTAGTGTGTGATCGTTGCTAGGGGCCCTAATCCAGATTCCCTCCCCACTGCAGATTGGATAAAAAGCAGGGCTTCCCCACTGCAGCCCAGGGACAGAGCTGGCAGGGAATGAGCAAGGAAACAAGGACAAAGTCAAAGGCAGTGGTGAAATACAAACAAAGTCAAAGGCAGTGGTGAAATACAAACATTCAGAGGCATTTACAGTGCTTTACATCTGTGATTAGCCCTAAGTGCTCACATGCAGAAAAACTATAGGGGACAGAACTTCTGAAGCTGCTCTTTGTTTCCTCTCTCTAAGAAATCACCTGCCCTCAGTATTAGTTAAAAAAACAAGGATCCAGTGGGCCACCACAGCTCATCCTGTGCTGTTCCTCTCCTTTAGGTAAAAGAGATTATTTTAGTATTCCAAACTTCTTCAGTAGCTTTTCCTAGCATGAAATTAACTTAACATTTGAATTACACTTTGCAAAGGTCTACTCCTCTGCCTATCAAGTCTCCTTTAAAAATTAATTTCCATGTAAGTTGTTTTAGCCTTATTTCTGATGAAAATAAGATTTACATGGTCATGGTGTCTGCCTGTCTGTCCATGTCTCTAATAAACTTTTGAGCCCACTGTCTGATTTTAAACAAGTCTGGCAGAAGTGTAATTACATCTCTAGAGATTTTATAAAAAGTAACAGGCCTGATAGCAAAAAGAGACTCTATCACAGTTCCCAAAAGTGCAAGTTACAATGTGGGTTCATGCCTTATTAGATTTCAGATATTCCATAAAATTTAGAATGCTAATAAATGCTTGATCTGTAGGAAGAGCTTCAAATTATTTTTTTTGCCATCTTAGGCACTATGGTCAATCAACTACAATATACAAATATACAGGAGATGTGACTTTCTTAGTTCCAGTCCTCACTAAATTACTTGTTGGTTGGTTTTTTTTCTTTTTTTTTTTTTTTTCTGTACCAGAGGCTGCCATCAGCTCTGCTATTTCATGTGGGACTAAATAAAATCTCTTTAATCCTGGATGCTCTGTTCATTTGTAGCCGCACAATATAGTCTTTTGCGTTCACCTAAGGCTCCCACATGAAAGCAACAGTAGGCTCACAAATATATGTATAGTTTTGTATTTAAAAGCAAGTGAATAATTCCCACATCTAAGTAAAGGCAGCAAAGATTATTTTCACTTTGTTGTGATGAAATGTTTAGCCCCCCACCTCTCACACTAGAAGACAAAATGTTGTCTGTGTGTTGATAGAATAAATAGGTGCAAGGAGCTTTGCAAAAGCTGAGCAAGACCCCTTCCCAAAGCAAGTACATGTCCCATCTCCCCCCTCCCCATTCTCACATCAGTACATTCCAACCAAGTCTTTTCCTGATCTGGAATTTTTGTAAGGTCAGATGATTCAGTTCCTTTTGATTTCCCTGATCCTCCAGCTGACAGCATGACCTCAGAGGAGTAAAAAGAGCTGTGCAAACAAGCTGCTCTCTCTGCCCCAGAGTCAATCCAACTCTGCAGAACTAGGGAAAAAGCAGCTTGTCAGGCAGAGTGGGGAAAAGACTCACACCTGGCCCTGCTCTTCTGGGATCAAGGAGTCAGTTCCAGTTTCCACTCTAAAAGGGAGTCATTATTGTTTGGGCAAATGTTTTCCTCTCTGTCCTTAGCAGAAACAAGAGAAACAAGAAAGGGGAAGGCTGATTTGAATTGTGCTGAAGCAGCTGCAGATCCACACAGAACTACGCTGTCCGTCACTGGGTTTGTTTTGGTCCCGGGGATTACCTGCTGGAGGGGCTGCGTGTGCACAGGCAGGGTTGGGTCTCTTTACTTTTCGCCTCTGTTTGGGTGTCGTCCCAGGCCAAGGCCTGGTTAAGGCCTTACTTTCTGGTCCAGTTCCAGAATGTTTTCCAAAGGATGTAAACTAACCTATCAGGAAATATTACCTCTTGTTGTAACCCTCCCCCAACCCTATTACAGTGTTTTAAATCTGCCTTCAAACACCTCCCACGTATAATCTGGTTATTTGGGCCTAATTGCTTAACTTTCCTTTGTGAGGCAGTGCAGGCTGTGCATTAGATAAAGATATGACACCTTATATTTAGCATTAATTGTGACTGCGCTTGTCCTGAGCACACATCTCTCTTGCTGGTCCTTGCTATGTAATTTCAGTCCCTAAATAGCCTACCTCATGATACATTCTTTGATAAATTTCCCAGCAGTGTTTCTCCTGTGGCATAAACTTCTACAAGCTCTCGTTATAAACCTTTGAGTGCTCGGCGCTTTAGGAACAAAATCCTGATGCTGTCCCCATCACCTATATCTTATTTTGCTGAAGAACATTTACCATCTACATGCAGAATAGGAGTAAAAACGGGGGCAGATATTAAAATAAGTATATTTTTGTGATACAGTGTTCAAGAGCTGTATAGTAGAAGTCTTTTTGTAAGGAGTGGTATCCTCCAAAAAAAAACCCAAGATGATTTACCAAAATGCCTCTGATTCAACCATACTAATTTTTGGGTTGTTTTTTGTTTTGATTTGATTTTGGGTTCTTTGGGTTTGGTTTTTTCCCCTTTGTAAAAAGCAGCAACTGCTTAAAAATTAGCTGTGCAAAGACAACTAATTGTTTATGTGATGGCAGATACAAGAGAGTGTTTTCAATTTATCACTGTGTCAGCTGCAGGTTAGTCTGAGGTGTCAGGGCTTTGCTGTCCTGAAGTAGAAGAGTAAATAAATAGGTGCCTGTGCCATGGTTGTTATTAAACACTATAGTCCTTCCCTGTGCTGGCTGGCACCACAGCAAGACTCACAAAGGCTTGGTGGAGATTGCACCTTCTTGACTCTCTTCTCTGGATCAGCAGCCAGGAGTTTGTGGGGAGACTGCTACGTGCACAGCGAGCCGTGCTCCCCTTGTCCCGAGTCTGAAATCCCATTTGCAAGGGCTGTCAAGCCAGCGCAGGAAGGGTGCATTAGTCATGTCCAAGTACTGGCAGAGCAAAAAAGCCCGAAACAAGGGGATTTCAAGGTGGAGAGGAAGAAGCTCCTGCCTTCTCTGTTCACCCTCCAGCAACCCAAAGAGCTGCAGGCAGTGGCAGGCAGGTGTGTCACTTCTGCAGCAGCAGTGACAGTCTGCAATCCGGAGGATGAAGAAATGCTCGCAGAAGCTTCCTTTCTGTCACATTACACCGCCTCAGGGAGAAAACCTAGCTGCTGAACTGGAGAATTGCCGCAAATGAGTCGAGTGCTTCTGGCCTCCCACTCACATGTTTCCATGTGAGAGTAAATAGGTAAGAGAGTCCTCTGAAGAGAGCAGAAAGGAACAACTGAGTTCACAGGCTCATGTCTTGCAGCGAGGTATTTGCTGACTGAGCACGCACAGAAACACCTTTAGCTGTTTTCCCCGTCTGCTCCTCTTCACAGAGCAGCACTTTTTAGGCAGTTTCCTGTAAGAAATAGTGCTGACCCTGGTCTCTTGCTCTTTCAACAGCCATACCGACAGGGACTCAAACTGGGTGCAATTCAGCTGAGCTACCCTGAGGGGCCTTGGCCAAGTCATCTGTTGTGCCTCAGTTCCCATTCTCTAAAATTAGGAAAATACTAATCTACTTCACAGGGCTGGTATAGAGAAGAGCTTAAAAAAACGAAACCTCAAACCAACGTCACCTTCATTTTCTTTGGTTTCTCCTGCAGGAGGTGGGGGGAAGAAATGAAGAAAAACAGTTGTAGAGTCACTTTGCAGATGAGCCAAATCCTGAATGGAAGCTCTGGCTGAAGAAAACAGCATGGAACCAGCAATGCAGCCTCTGAATATGATGCTTA